TTTAAAGGGGATGAAGAGGGAGGGAAGGTCTCTTTCTCTCTTTCTATATCTCGCATTAATGCCGCCGGAAGACACATTGACGACGGCAATAAAAAGAATTGAATATAAAGCCGGGTGTATATGCGCGGGAACATTAGGACCGCGAGCAGGGAAGGAATTCGAGTTTACGGTCAACTAACTGTAATTATCCTCCACCGCAATAGAAATAGGGCAGCGTTATGGTATTACAATCACTAACTCAAGAAAGTCCCGTCTACCTAAGAGAGATCCGCCTCTCGATAAAAGTAGCGAAAATTTAAATACCCATTCGCGTATTTATGTAGATATAATTTTACGTTTAAAGCGTTTCTTTCTATTTTTTTGATCATTTTTAATTTTAAAAAAATTATGATCAAAAGATTGAAAATTTGTTTATATACAAGATGTATCTAATAAGTGTGAAAAATTTTAGGAAATCATTTTTTAATCATTAGAAAATCATTTTCTAATTTATCTACATGTGTTTATATAAGAAGTCCCCCTTAATTTTCGACAAAGAATCATCCCTAAAATTTCTCGCACTTATTTTTAATTTAAAAAAATTATGATCAAAAGATTGAAAATTTGTTTATATACAAGATGTATCTAATAAGTGTGAAAAATTTTAGGAAATCATTTTTTAATCATTAGAAAATCATTCTTCTAATTTATCTACATGTTTATATAAGAAGCCCCCCTTAATTTTCGACAAAGAATCATCCCCTAAAATTTCTCGCACTTATTTAGATGCACCCTGTATATCGGAGAGAAATAACTCCGGTAAAGAAACAAATCGTAGGATCGAAAATAGCGATGAGAACGCAATTCCATTCATCTACGTTTACTTCCGCTTTAATAACGTCTCTCGCGGTTGAAAGACAAATTACCATGGCACTCGCATTTTCCGGAAAGTACCTAGAAGTGTCTTTCCTGTATCGAACGAACCAAAGTTCCATTCGGCGACGTAGATTAGCGAAGACGTCAAGCTACTCGTGCGCGCGCAAAGTCTCTCTGTCTCTCTCTCTCTTCTCCTGTTCAGGTATTATACTTGCAGTCGCGGTAAGAAGTTGCGAATCAACATCTCGTTATCCGGGATTCGAAAACTTTCGCGTACCCAGCTAACTTCCGGGCACCGCTCCTTCTCTCATCACTCACCTACGTTTCTAGCAGAAGCTCTCGCACATCCCCGAGAAGAGGCTGATTGTTACGCGACCTTTTGTATAATTTCCGTCTATCTCTCGGAAAGATTGAAGCCTCCTCTTTTGGAATCGCAACAAAAGTAAGTAGACGAAGTTGAGAAATCCAATTGATGAAACAGCGGATTGTCGGCCAGTACAAAGAAACTCGCGAGAGATACTCAACAACATTGATAACGAGGCATTACAAACCTCCTTCTTTTTCTTTCCTTTCTCCTTTTCACTCTCTTTCTTGACTAATGACTTCGATGACATAGTTTCGATATAAAAAATGCGATACCACGAATGAAGACGAAGTCAGAGCCAAAAAGGTATTTGTTTTTCTGAGATTATAACGTCTATGAACAAATTTGATCTAAGAAAGATAATTAATTGTAAGTAAATATAGCAAAAATCCAGGGGTAAAAGACCCTCCAAAGATGAAAGACAACGGTATAATTGACTTGTTTACAACCTCGAGGGTACATTTAATCATTCTCCTAATCATTTCCACATTCATTTTCAGAAACCTCATTTTCATATTATTAATTAACCAATGATCATTAATGAGAGGGCGTAACTGAGACCGGTCGGTGACATTTTCGTCGTCCACAAAGCATGCCATTGAATCTTACTCCGCGCGATTAATTTTACAGTTCAGTGTCATCAAGGGAGTCGAAAACTTGGAAACGCGTCTTCTCTTCTCCTCGTATCCTATTTCGGCAAGATCTAGGCTGGCGCACTTTCCCTCCTGTCTTCTTGCTCCCTCTCTCTCTCTCTCTCTTCCCACAGGGATCTCTTAATACACGAGCGGTGTACAATTTCGAAACTTAAAGGACGAAGTCAAGAAGGGCTTCGAGCGAATTTGCCTAAGTTCCCTGACTTTGCTTCCTCGTTCGTCCTTCGAATTATTTCGAGCTTCTATCCGCTGGTAAAAGTAATTTTGTTCCCGAATGCAGAGAGAGAGAGAGAAATCGAGCCGAACCAAGCCGAGCAGGGTCGAATCGAGCCGGTCGAGATGGCGGCAGATTCGGTGGAAAGGCAGCCAGGGAAAGATGCTTTTAGTTTATTACCTCGAGGAAATTACACCGGCGAGAGAGTCTCCGGTCGGCCCCGTTATTTTTTCTATCTCTCTTTTTGCTCCTCTTATACGCCAGAAGGCACCAAGCGTCGCGCGGAGGATTTAAGATCCGCTGCTCTCCGAAATGTGTAAGCGTTCCACCGCGTATTTTGAGGAATTACATCGGGTCTTACGTTCGTGCTATATATCGCGGTATCTCCACTTCGGCCGGTTTTTTTCCACGGTGCGTGTAAAATCATTGTGCTTTTATATTCGAGAGAAGATTTTTCTCCTCGGCAAAGTACACGATTCTTCCTCGGAAGAAGAAAGAATTCAACAGAAGATATACGTGTATTAAAAATGAACCGTACTTTTTTTTTTTTTTGACATTTGGAATTTATTTTGAATTTACATTTTTGATCAAGTTAATTGTTTTTTATTTAAGGTTGTCAAAATCTTCTTTGATTGCGTCTACTTGCGATTATTGCTTGGCAAAAGTTGAAACGACAGATATAAATATTGACGTTATTTTGAGAAAATATTCCTTCCCTCTCGTTTCGCGATCATAAAAACAATTCTTTCCGCACCGATTTACATAAACATAATTTATTGTGGGACGTCATCGATTGTTACATTACTAACTTTAAAACTTTTCTACGCGTTTATTATTCTATTATAACGCTTTATAAACTGACGTTAAAGAAAGCTAATCGTTACCATTTTTAGATATTTCCCCTGGTAATAAATATATTAAACAAATACATGAATTTTAATATATGAATATATTAAATAAATATATAGATTTACGTATTATTAATAAACCATTACAACACAGCTACATAACAAAACACGTGTATCAATTATTTCAACTCCGATTGCGGTAGGATATTTCACATGGATACATTAAATTGATCAAAGTTTCCGCTATCTTCTCCGAGGGTGGACGTGAACGAAAGTTTCTAATTCACTTTAATTAACCGTCACCGCGAGCCATCCGGATCGTGGACCAGAGAAAGAGAGAGAGAGAGAGAGAGAGAGAGAGAGAGAGAGAGAGAGAGAGAGAGAGAGAAAACGGCACGCCTGTCACTAGCAACGGCACTTTTCCACGGTGTCTGAGATCGTGGATTATCAGAATATCGGAAGATCGACGACGCGACCACCGGAGATGCCGTTAATGTAGCCGGAAATTACAAAAGAGACGGCTTTTATCGGATGCGCGGCAACGAGCCAGATGCGCCGCAGCTTCGCGCGTTTGGACCAAATTGAAAGCGGCCGCGTCAATAATTCGCTTTTCCTTCTCGCGCTTCGCTCTGAGACTTACCTCGAATCCCCCATCTCGATGGAGAAATCTAAAATCTTGATACAACTATGACGTAATTAAACCAATATTGAATCGAAAAATATGTGTTATACATATATTTATAAAATAGTATAGTCAATATATTTATAAATTAAACTATAAATTTAAAATAATATTGTTCATTTGAAAAAAATGAAAGAATTAGTCGGTATAATTCGCGGAACGTTCGATTTTAATTAGATTTGCTCCTTAATTATTATAGTGAAATTTGAGTAATGCAATTATATATTACGGTCTCGCGATTAGATTTGAACTCGGATCCGAGTGGGCGCTACGAGGATTAAACAGAGATTCTAGAATTGAGAGTTAATTAGATTCTCGGTACTTCGTACGCCACTATATTAATTATTCATCATCCGACGAGCGAGTAGTCGCAGTCGCGACTCGATCGCCGAGCCACGTCGCAAGTATATCGGAATATCGATGTGTTTGCAAGATCCCTCGTATTGATGATCGTGTTCGGTGATCGATTCGGCGCGGACGCTCGATTTCCCATAAATGTTAACGGCGGAGAAACCCGCGTCGTCGCATACGTGGAGGGCTAATTGGACCGCGAATGTACCTAATCGAACCTAATGCGAGCAGCCGAGGTCCGTGTCTCGGGCTTCGGTAACGGGCCATGAATTATCGATAAGCCGCAAACGCTCCCCTTCTATCGACAAAGTCGCACGTGGAGGATGGCGATGCATGGCCCGCGAAGACAATGCGACCGTCGTTCTGATAGCGGGGCAACATGACTCTGCGAACATCGACAAGCTAAGCGTGACGGATAGGGGTAGATAGAATCTAATTAAACCTATAGCAAGATCGAGATACAAAACGCATGACTGCGGTTTCAACGATCGAGCGGAACGGTCATCCTACATCCTTCCTGTGCAAATTTCGGAGAAAAAAAGTGCTCTTAGCGTAATGTTTCGTGTAAGAAGGAAGAATCGAAAATTTTATATACTCGAATTTTTTTCTTTTATGTATACGTGTATGCGATGGCATATATCTGCATCTCGCGTCTTTGCTATATATTTCTTGTATTGTTTTTCGTTTTTTATAATTTTGATATTGAATTTTTTAGACTGTATATATATACTATATATTGTACATATATTACAAACTCCATTATAACCATTCTCGATTTGAAAAATTGAATTTTGCGTTATTTCCGGAAATTCCATTACCTCGCAAATACAATCAAGCGTTGATTGTCTCGGAAATAATATTGGTTGCGCGCAAAATGTACGTGTACACATATACAGTCGCGGTGAAGTAAGCCCTAACTTCGAATGGAATCCGAGTGTAGATCCATCGCTAGACGATGACATCACGTCTCCGTTCGCTACAAAAAGTCTCCATTAGCAAAGCAAATACATTCCCGTATTCTTTCTGTCCGCAGACAAGACCGAACAGCGAAAAGAAATCGATAAAATTGAAGGATCTCAGCCTAGAGAGCTCGGGCCAATACAAATGCGAAGTTTCCACCGAGGCGCCGTCCTTCGCTACCACTTATCAGACTGCCAATCTGACGGTGATTCGTAAGTATCCATCATCTCTTAATCAATAATATCGGGTAACCGAAAAGACACTCGCGTGCCGTCTTTTTAGTAGAAACGCAGCATTGAGAAATTTCCTCTTTTTTGTTCAATTGAGGCAGCTTTATTTATTTATTTTTTTATTGAAGTTTTTAAAATTTGAAAATTTTAACAAATTGATAATGATACATGGTAATATCATCTCGTTACGTAAAAAAATCCCAGTGTCTCGTTAATTCACGAATGTCCAATAGAGTTCCCGTCTGTCTGTTTGAGTTACTGCCAACAATATCTGCCATTATGGGATATTTATGTATAACAGCGCGCGATAAACTATTTCGGTAACGCCCGCGTGGCGTTTTATTGTAAAATAGTTGTCCACCGGCAACCATTTCGCACATCCTCGCGCCATTAATATGTGTCTTGTGGGTACGTTCCCGAATATACTTTTAATTATATCCGCGTTCAGTTTTGTGTTTTATTGTTCTGCGCATACAAATAATGATATTACATGGCATGTATCTTCAATTACCGTATTTTACAATATTTTTCAATATTTTGTTTACGTAAATTACCATGTACGCGCGTAGAAAAAATGTGAGATTTATTTTTCTAATTAAAATATATGTATATGATCACCTTTTTCTATATTTATCATAATTTTTTATTTGGCGCAAAAAATATATTCCGTGAATTATATCGAAAATTATATTTCTCTCGAGGGTAATATGTGTTTTAAAAATATAATGAACATTTCCATCTGGTATTTTCTGAATTTGTAATCAACGCTGACGCGAATTTAATTATTAATTAACAGCATATATTTAGAGAAAAGAAGTTACGTGCGCTATTTATGTAAAAAATTATCGTTATTAACACAGATGTATAATACATCTTTTCGAATGATTCGTACGTAAATAAGCAATTAAGTGATAAAAGCCGCGTATGGTCAGCCCAACCTTTTACGATAACACACTTACTGATTTTGTTCACGTTTCTGTCATTTTTGGTCGCCATTAAATCTCTTGCGTTCCAATTAACGGTTTAATTATGTGCATTATAATTCATATATGCGAATCATGTAAAATACGCGGTTGCCTGCGTTTATTAAGTTTTCCTTCACTGAAACAGCACGAGCGACACTAATTTGCCCGATTCAGCCATCCCAATAAAATTGTCCGCCGACTCGATCGACATATAAATCGTCAAAATGCTCAACTTTATCGGGCCGCGGAAGAAAAATAGCATTATTACCGGAGGCGTCGTTATCGTACTACTGGGAATCAATCAACGCCGAAATTTATCTTCAACAAGTACCTCCGTTCACGATCCGCGAGATCAATTAAATGGTCGTCATGTGAACGGCGACCTTCTCTCTCTCTCTCTCTCTCTCTTTTCTCTATTTTTTCTCTCTCTCTCTTTCCCTTTTTTCGGTAACGAGAAAGTCAGTTTCAGGATAACAGATGCCGCGATATGAATAGATTTTTCCCGAAAAAATAACGCGTCCGCAATTCTGGCTATCGCTCGCGGCTTTCGATTCTTGGCCGGAACGCGTGAATCACCGGCGAGTGACGAGACATGTCCAGAATAAAGCGCTGTATTCCTATCGAACAGACAGAAACTGCCATATCGTGAATTGGACGGTGAGATCACAAATCTGCGGAACGGTAAATGTTCGGGGAACGACTTCGAAAATGACTTTTGTTCTTTATTCAAAAACTCAAATTTGATATTTCGAGATTATTACCGTGTCGATTTCCTCTCTTAAAGATATTTTCATTTATCAAAGATTTAGGGAGATTTAAATCGAAATTAAATGTTGAATTTGAGGTTGCCAAGACTGCTTGATCGAATCACGAAATGTGCAATATTGCAAAGTATTTAATTATTATTTTTAAATAAAGATTTAAACAAAATGTGCATGGTTATTTGATCTGTTTGATGAATGTGTGGCGTTTTTAAGGGAGAACTCGCTGGAGAACGAGACAAAAGAGGAAAAAAAGAAAACGGAAACCGGTCAGAGAGTAAAAAGAGAACCGTGTTACTGCAAAGAGAACCCGAGCTGTCCAGTTTTTCGACCACGCGAAATTTGTTTCTGTCGTGACGTAGATGCCGCAGGAATTACCTTTCTCCCTCGCCTTCTCTATCAAAAAAAATTTACATCGTTTATCACCATACATCATCAGAAAAAAAAAGAAGCGAGAAAAAACATGTTCGCTATCCCGTCGAATATTTTCGCGGATGCGAGCCTATCTCCGCTTTCGATTCGCTCGAATCCTGAATTTGCTGTCGAAAGTGTTACGATCGCTCCGATCGAACGCAAGTTTTTGCAGTAGCTCGTGATCGCGTTTTACCTGAAAGTTGTTTTCTCACGAACATCGTTGTTTCACATCGTACTCGAAGTGAAATTAATCGAATCCCTCTCATCAATGACGTCTGAATAAAAATAAAATCCTTCTCCCGCAAGACTTGTTCTTGTTTGACTATACAACAGCATCGATTTTTTTTTCAAACTGCAAACTCGTTGCGGTTCGACGGAGATAACTCAGCGAACGTAGATTGTAACGAGAGAAGAGTTTTTGTAAACACACACGATGGCCGCGTGTTGATCGATACTGGCAGAAAATTACGGGATCGCGACGTTTGCATAAAATAATTGAAATTGTTCGACCGTTCCTGAAACACAATGAAAAAATTCGAGGGCAACGTCGGAACACTTTCGCATGCCATTCCACGTAGGATTAATTTCCCGCTGATTGAAAGACGCATAATTCGCAAATTCCCGGCGCCGGCCTTTGTGTTTGCACGGTATTGAAAAAAAGCGCGAAGCGTAAAACGAAAATATTATTCGATGATGAATTCCACGGATACTGGTGAAATCTTGTTGAGAGAATATTGTACGTCAGCCCCTTGATTATATCTGGCGCGGAAAAGCCGGGGAAAAATAGACCGAAATACCTTTCAGTCATTAGGAAAATCGCTAAATGTGTCGATAATAAGTAGCAATCGACGAATAAAGAATTATTAGAGACATGGACATGGACCATGTGTGCGCATTTCGCGAAACAATTTGTGGATATGAATTTAATTTCGCGGAGAGCAATAAATTTTTACAGAGATAACCGAGCGTAATTTATGCAGTTGCGAAAAGCGCAACGCTCGTAAACCCGGCTTTATATCCTTTAGGTCGTTGATATTTCTCATAATGAAGGGTACATACAGTCATATGCCGTATTTAAACAACATATGGAAGAAGGGTGCAATGCCCTTAGAAAATGAATAAAACGCTCGGAAATACATATATCTTCGCGAACGCGAGTGGCTTAATGAAGCGTCTCTCTGTCTGGTTTACTAACAGCCATTCTACGTATTTCTAGGGATATAAAAAGTCGTCAGAGTGAAAGCATTGCGAACAAATGTTCTTTTCAGTACTCATTATTGTTAGATAGTGAGCAGCCGTAGGCGACCGAGCTCGCCTTATTGCTACAATATAGTCATTAATGTCAAGTTAATTAATGACATAAATAGCTTTTTGCGAGCCGTACACATATAGTAATGAAGAATGAAAGACTGAAAAAATTATTAAAATCGTCACTACATAAGTTATTTTTGTTTATCCAAAATATTAAACAACTAATTGTATAAAATTGGATCAATATTTCGTTGCGCATTTCGTTACTCAATTTTAACTCAAATTTAAATTCCACGTGTTACACGATTTTCGTGCATCGTTCAAGATGTGATATCTTGGCCACATTGTTCCAGACGTATCGCTAAAATATCGCGATGTCAATCGTACAGAGATGCAGAAACAAAAATAAAAATATCTATCTAATCTGGAAAGCTCGAGCGAGATGGCGTTCTCGAGAAGAGATACAAACTTTTGGATTATGCATGAGAGACGTCGTCGAGGATTTGGTCTCCTCTCGATCGTCCGTCCTGCTACGATAGCTTGCTTGCCAGCTCTTTCGCGTCTTTTCGACAACATAAATCGACTGACGAAAGAAGCAAGTCGAATAAAAACCGAAACTTCCTCTTCCACTCAATTCTCGAAGCACTTAAATTCGTTTACCGATGTCAAAATGAGCCATTTTTCATGCTATATTTTTCAATATTGCGTTTTTCTTATCTCAGATAAGATAAAGCATCATAAGTACTCTGTAAGTTTTATACATTTTCAAGAAAAAATATATATTTTTTTACTCCAAAATAATATCTTGCGATGATAATATTAACAATTCGATATTATCGCTTCACAATATTCCTTATTTAACATAAGATTCAAATTGGCATAAATTATGCAAAAATAAAAAATTATTGAAAATTGTTACCGTCTGTTCATAGATTATGTATAATAAATGTATCTAATTAGTGATATATTCCTATAGCATGTGCAATAATGATGTCAGCCGCGCACAATGCGGTTGAACAATAACTCGCAAATACAATACTGCAAGTAGTCTCATTTTAGTTATAGAATGCAATTCTCCATTACGTTACAATTCAATAGATCAGTTCTCTATGTCGAAATAGATAATAATAGTACACATATAGTATTTAATATATGCATTGAATATTTCGAATTTTCATTGTATTAAAAATAGAATTTCGATTATTGGAATTAATTAGAATGTTAAAAGAGGCGAAATATCAATTAGAATTATCAATTAGAACATCTTTTCTAAAAATACACGTAAAGTGGATAAAAAAAGCTACAAACCAATAGAAGCTTAAAAAATAAAAAATTGAGACACATTTATTATTTAACGTTCTTTATTATAAAATAAAAGTCACTTACCAATTGATGTACAACAGCGAAGTTGATTACGTAGTTGATCTATAACACACAAATATAAGATCTAAATTATAGCAGCATACAAAAATATAATATTAATAATTAACTGAAAAATGATTATATACGCACCGCATTTTGTATCTTTATATGTATTTTATATTTCTATAAAAACCAAAAATATTTAATGTAATAATTTTATTATATTCTA